TGATGTCTATTTTCTATTGGGAATGGTACCGTTTTAGGGTAGTAGTTATATAAAGAAAAAAAAACACTGTATAAAATAGTTTAACAAAATAAGTAGTGTAAAACTCTCATATAAAAATATTATAATATTTGTAACACAACTTTTCATTGGATAATCATAATGAATAATATAAACTATATACATGTACATGGTTGTTGACAATTTATGAAGTAATTAAATTTTCTTTTGTTAATGTAATAAAGTAAGTATTAAATTCCTTTATAATAATAATTGACAGGTTATTATGGTCTTATATAAATTATTGTTTGCAATATAACCTTCATTTAGTAGCTAGGGTCATAATGGTCTAACATCCATTTACATAGGGCAAATTATAACCTGGCAAAAATCTTTATAACTAATACTATTATAATGAATACAGTTATTACACTGTCAGGGAGAAGTTTAGTTACTGTTTGGGACATGAGATTTGTGTATGGAATAAGCCATCCCCTTCATGGAAAATTGTTATATGAGTTTATATGATAAGTAACTGAGTCTGTATAAAAACCTTACAAATTAAGCGAAAAATCCACCGACTTTCTAAATTATGGCCATTTTCTTTCTTCAGATATTTTCTGAAATGTTTTGAACTTTTAGTTTCTGATATTTACTGATATTGCCTGAAACTGTGTGAAAAAATTTACCCTAGGTAAATTTATCTGTGAAAATAACTTGATAATATTATTATTCTCCAGATAAATAAGGTCATGTGAATTATGCCTTAATTACATAGATCTGAATTAATAATAATAATAAAAAAACATCAAGTGTAAAAACTGTTGTTGTAAACATTGTTAACTTATTGATGTATCATAACATAACATAATTTACTTCATCTATTTGTTTGTATTTATAATAAGTATTTATTAAAATATATTTTCTCGTAGTTCATACAAAAACTAGTCAAATTAAGGTAAGGAATTAAGAACATAACAGAGAAAAATAAACCAAGACAAATGTAATTAAGAATATTTTTTCAGAATTGTCATTCAGACAAGCTAGTATTAAATACTTTACAGTATAATCAGACATCTTATCTGAGTTATAAAATTTAAAAAATATGCAAATATTTCTTCCCACTACTAAGTAATAATAATAGAAAGAATCTTTCCTTTAACAAGTAAAAACCCCAAACAATATCTGTCAACATCAAATACCTTTTGTTTTCAATATACAATAATTAGGTATTGTTAATTTCATTTATGGGGCATCTGTGGCCAAGTGATAAAGGGCGTTGACTTCAAACCACTTGCCCCTCACTGCTCTTGGTTCGTATCCAGACAGTGACTTTGGGTTCTTTCATGTGAGGAAGCTCTCCAGCTAGCTTACAGGAACATCAGTGGTGCCTGAAATAATGCTCAGAGGGGAACCTGAGGTCTTTCTCCACTAGTAAAGCTGGAAAGTCGCCATATGACCTATACTGTGTTGTTGTGACGTAAAACCCAATCAAATGAACAAATTTCATTTATGAATCAATCAGATAGTAAAAAGAGAGAGAGAGAGAGAAGTATTCATTGTGTTGTGTTATGATTATGTATATATTATATAAAGAATGCCAGGATGTAAGTTATTGATAGTTAAAACCTCTGTTAATGCTAAAACAATCATCAGTTTATAAAGATGATTATTTCTAGAAATAATGGTTTCATAACTTTAGTTTGTGCCAAATTTACCTGGTGTACATTAAATTTATTTTGGAGTACACATATTTATTTCCAGAATATATACATATATACATTTATAATACAAATCAAACAATTTTATATTAGAACGGAAGACTAAGTCTTATAAAATTCTTCTCCTTTGAGTACTTTAAAATCATTACAGAATATTGTTATAGTATACAAATGAAATGTTTTTATAATGTACAAGCTGCCACAATGAAGTTCAATAGACAAAGGAAAGATACCAAGCAATATTTGCATTTTAAAAAATCCCTTGAACATTGAATGAAATGCTCCAAACTCAAAGCAGGGCTGAGGCATCCATAATACAAAATCTGTAGAACACTGAAGTGTGTTACATAATCGAGGGTTGACTGCAAAACTGTTGTTTTTTTTTCATAAAAGTTACTGCAGTTTTGCAATCAACCATACATTATGTTTGTTCATTGAGACTAATACTGGGAGTTACCCCAGCTAGTAGACTTGAAATTGTTGAGCTGTTCTTAACCAAGTTAATTTTATAAAATCACTAATGAAATACTTTCCTACACTTACCTAGATAGCTAGCCGTGTATTTTTCCTGTTAAGTTGTAATGTTATATAAGAGATAATGAGATGCCATCATAATTATTTCTGTTTAATTATCACAGTATTGTTTAAATAGTTCTGTATAAATTTTACTTTAAAAAAGAGCAAATTAAAAGTCATAAAGACTATTTTTAAAACCATATATTATGACATTTGTGTTTTGATTTTGCAATTCTATCATAATGACATTGGATCCAGACTAAAGAAATCAGTAAATCTTGGCTGCCAACTTGATTCTTTATTATTAAGAAGAAATGTGATTTTGATTGGTGAAATATTAGAGGAACATATTCTGAGAAATGTTAGATAATGATAGACACTATCTGGATTTAGTAGATACATTCCTGCAGGTAGGTGTATGATATAAAACTTGTGTAATATAGATAAAGTTTATACTGAGGTGAATTGATGAAAGATATCAATGTTTTCATAGTTTAAATTTTGCAAATCATATCATAGATAATAGATATTTGAAAAGAAAAATATTTGCATTATAAGATTGTTAAAGGGTAAATTTGTTATGTTATCTCTATTAGGCAGTCCCACTATAATAATGAGCATAAAATTATGGAATTGCCTAACACAAGTTAGAATTTTAAGAATAATTCATGAATTGTTTGTGAATTCTCAAGGTGGCACGCATAGTGGGTATTCTCAATAGACTTATGGTAACGTGTCCATGAGTTTTTATTATAAGAAGTGAGCAAGATTCTTGTTTTGAAGAACTATGATGTTCTGTCTGGTGTAAAAGTGAATTGTAAGCTGGTATAATATCTAACTGTTTTGCACCAAATTGACACAATCTATATATTATCATCAACATTATAATTATACCCCCGCACAACAAAGTTGTAAGGGGGTTATACTGGAATCAGCTTGTCCGTCTGGCCGTCCGTCCGTCGGTTTTTTCTTGTCCGCCCAATAACTTAAGATTCCTTTGACCCTTAGTCTTCATATTTGGCATGGAGGTTAGTCATGATTAGTAGATGACCCCTATTGATTTTGAGGTCACTAGGTCAAAGGTCAAGGTCACAGGGGCCTTGACTTCAAAAAGCTTGTCCGCCCAATAACTTAAGATTCCTTTGACCCTTAGTCTTCATATTTGGCATGGAGGTTAGTCATGATTAGTAGATGACCCCTATTGATTTTGAGGTCACTAGGTCAAAGGTCAAGGTCACAGGGGCCTTGACTTCAAAAAGCTTGTCCGCCCAATAACTTAAGATTCCTTTGACCCTTAGTCTTCATATTTGGCATGGAGGTTAGTCATGATTAGTAGATGACCCCTATTGATTTTGAGGTTACCAGGTCAAAGGTCAAGGTCACGGGGCTTTTGACTTCAAAAACTTTGTCTGCCCAATAACTTTAGATTCCTTTGACCCACAGTCTTCATATTTGGAATGGATGTTGATCATGATTAGTAGATGACCCCTTTTGATTTTGAGGTCACTGGATCAAAGGTCAAGGTCATAGGGACTTTGACTTCAAAAAGTTTGTCTACCCATTAACTTAAGATTCCTTTGACCCACAGTCTTCATATTTGGTATGGATGTTGATCATGACTATAAGGTGACCCCTATTGATTTTGAGGTCACTGGGTCAAAGGTCAAGGTCTAAGGGACCTTGACAAAAAAAAGCTTTTCTTCTCAATTGCTAAAGAATGTCCTGTCTGCAATGTATTGATTTTGACATTTTCACATTTGAAGCATGTAGAATACATAACTTAGCAATGCACTGGCTTAGTAATCTCAGATTTGGCAGGGAGGTTGTCCTTGAGCTCTAAATGGCCACTGTTGATTCTGACAAAGAGGTATGCGGGGGTATTCACGCCATGATAGTGGCAGTTCTAGTTATATTTAATGCCAAGGAATTTAAGAATTCCACACTTGTATCTCCTCCACCCTGACCCTACTGATAAGTAATTTACCAATATTACTCCTGAAAGCAATCTTTTTCTATTTTAAACCAATTTAGATAATGCTAAATACAGGGTTTTCAAGTTTTCTGACATTTTGAAATTGAACTCAAGTAATATGCTTACTTATAGCAACAAAATGTGGACATCAGTCATTTTTATTTTATATAGTATAACAATCATCTTACATTTAGCTGCTTGACGTTCCAAAAGGCAAGCACTTGTAAACATACAAACATACAATTTTACTGTGACATAAACAAAATAAATGTGTTTCTTAGATAAGAAGAATAATGTACAATGTGTATTTAAATCAGCTTAGTTATTGTATTAGAAATGCCTTAATTTGCTAAAACATCTTAACAATAGAATAATAATTCCTCACTGCAAAATAAATATGTATGCAACTTGCATATGAATGAGTTTGAATAAATGAGCCGCGTCATGACAAAACCAACATATTGCGTTTGCGACCAGCAAGAATCCAGACCAGCCTGCGCATCCACGCAGTCTGATCAGGATCCATGCTGTTCACTATCGGTTTCTCTACTTGTAATAGGGTTGGTAAGCAAACAGCATGGATCCTGATTAGACTGCGTGGATGGGCAGGCTGGTCTCGATCCATGCTGGTCGCAAACGCACTATTTTGGTTTTGTCGTGACGCGGCTCAAATTACTGTCTTCATGAGGCACCGTTTTGGGAATAGAAGAAATAATTCATATTATCACATACTGGTACCACTTTTGTGTCTTCATAAAAATGGTAATGCATGTGTATGTTATATTTATTTTCAGTTCTACCTCCAAGATACCAAGAGCAGCAATGGGACATTTGTTAATGACCAGAGACTGTGTAAAGGTGGCGAGGAAAGTCCACCCAGAGAAATTTACTCCGGGGACCTTATACAGTTTGGTGTCAATGTTATGGAAAACAACAGACGTGGGGAGAAAAGTAAGTATGACACATTATTTAAATAAGTCACAGAGGCTGAAATGATTACTTTGAAAATGACATCTTTAAATAAACATCTCAGAATCTTCAATGTCGAGAGAATATGTTTTTGGTAACATTAATTCCTGGTCCATTACAAAAATTATAGAAATCTGGTGGCATCAGGAGTTTCTACTAGTAGACTTGTATAGCAAAACACATTTCAATTTCTTGTGTGAAACTATATGGTCTACTGCATGTAACATTGCCTAGTCAGTTTTATATATTGTATGAATTATAGCCTAGGGTTAAGATGGTGCCACCCTGAAGTGACCTTATGACGGTGTTCTGCATTGCAGCATTGTTATCATTTCTGTTAATAGATCACTCATGGTCCTCATGTTAAGTGATTGGATACAGTCATACCTTGATTATTTCAATTGCCTGGGACAAGAATTTTAATCTGAATAATTGATAAATTTTTTTAATAATCAAAATCTGAATAAAATGGCTGACTGCTGCTACTCATCTTTACAAGTTCTTGTTACCTTTATTAATCACTTTCGAGTCCGCTTCCTGGAACCCAAACAGTACTGGTGTCATATGAAAAAACATGGTTGTGACCCAAGCCCTAACCCTTGATCCCTGGGTTGAGGGGCAAACACCTTAACCACTAGGCCACAGTGTTCCCCTTGACTTTTGGTTAATGGTAGTGTAATATTTGTGTACATCTCACTTGTTACTGATAAACACAAAGACATAATTATGTTTAGATAGAATTTTATTGGTATGAAATATATAAATACATGTCTAGCATCCCATAGGTAAAATATACACATGCATTAACACATAAATATAGATGTGATTTTCAAGAAATCATTTTATACTGTTACATCAGATACATCAGAAAGGAAAGTGTTTCATTGTCTGGTTATAGTATCCCTGTATTACTGGGTTCTTTGCCAGATTATTCCACCTGAATATCATATGCCAGCATAGACATAATACATTGATTTGAAATAAGAATTGCCATAGTCCTGTAAACACAACTGTGTGATAGTGTTTGTATGTTTGTTTCATGAAACCTTTTCTTTGAACACTTTTCACCATACAAACCAGAAAATCACTTGTGTACAAAACTTTTTTATCATTAATTTAAGTTGAATTATACAGAGCACAATCATCACAACTATGTTAGTTATGTTAGCAATGCACTGGCTTACTACCCTCAGATTTGGTTGGGAGGTTGTCCTTGAGCTCTAAATTATAGACCACTGTTGATTCTGACAAAGTGGTATGCAGGGGTATTCATGCCATGACAGTGGCAGTTCTAGTTTCTTCCCCGTTTGCAAATATACCATATAATATCCCCCCAAAATTAAGGGCGGGATGCAGTTGAAGTTTCCCAACCTGTGAAGAAAAGCCCTTATGCTAAATATTCTAATAAAGGGTTGTTAAAAATCCAGTTTGTCATACTGTATATAAAGTGATCAAGGGCTGGGAATCATATTACACTACATTATGTTTGTTTCTCTGAGGATTTTTTTTTATATAAAGAACTAGTTTAAGAGGAATACATATGGGGAAATTAATTTTTTTACAAGGAAAATTAATTTTCCTTACTTCATATTATGTTTAATACTATTTATACATTTACGGCCTAAATGATGTTTAAACAAATTGTAGATACTTTTTAAAGTATCTTTAAACTGATGACATCATTATTCTTATGAGTAATATTTGTTTTGAGTTCCTTAATTTATATAAAACAATCTGACATAAATTGAATTAATGGAGAAATATTAACTCAGGAAGTGAACTTTTCTATTTTAGTTACTCATGGCTGTATCATAGCAACCATCACACTGTTTCACCCAGATGGTAGAGAGGCTAAACCTGTGTAAGTAACTTCTTGTCCTAACATTCTTGTCCTGTAGTTTAACAATTAAGTTGTCTTCTTTTTCGCAAGGTGCTGATAACTTCTATATATGCCAGAGCAAAGGTACAGTGCGAATGACCGAAAATGATTTCACGATCAGTCACGGCAAAAGTGACCTGCACCGTCCAGGAATCGAACCCTTCTCACCTGATCCACTCCAACACTCAACGTATTGGACTAACCTTTGGATATTTATTTATAGCTGTTATGTATGAGAGTAATCATACACACATGAGCTTTTGGAGTGACACTAATGGTTTAAGCTCAATTCTTATCAAATTTTTAAAGTATTGAAACTGTTATGTCTTTTGGGTCACTGGCGTAAAAGTTTTTGAGGACAGATCGGAAGAAGACGTGAGGATATTCTTGTAAATAATGATAGCTCTTGTAACAAGGAAAACATGTAGTCGACAACATTTTTTGTTGCTTCTAATTCTTTCTGTAAATTTTCTTGCTGTATGCTCCATTTTTTGAAAGAAAAAAAAAGATATTGCTCCATTGGTTGGTGTTCTTGTTGGGATTTGTTAATTTTGTTATTAAGGCCAATTTTAATATGAACTAAGAAACGACTGTTTCTTGACATTGTTTATACCTGTTAAAGTGTTCTTGTTTTTCTTTATCAAGTACAGGTATGTTTTGTCAAGCTCTTTTAAAGAATTATTTCCCCTTTTGTACTTTTCTTTAGTTTAACTATCAAGCACTGAGAGAAATGAAGCTGCTGTCACTGGACAGGTCTTGTTTACTAGACATATCTGGAAATATATATCTTATATTTCACGAACCCTTGGTTTATGTAGTACTGTCTTTATGGTTCTTAGTAATAATAGACCTGGTCTTGTTTAATAAAGGAATGGGTATTTCATAAATAAATTTAAGATTTGTTAGTTGCACCAATAAACTTATGTTGTACATACATGATTGGTACATACTGGTAACTTGATAGAAAATCAGTTTCATTGGTCAGTATTATGTGAATGTTTGTAGGTGGTCAAGATATTAGTGGGGAATAAAGATAGATATTAACATTTTGTAGGGCCTTTTACATCATTATATTATTTCTTATGTTATTATAGGTAGGTCCTGGAGGCTTTAAGATTTACAAATAAAAAGTTTTATGTAATTTGGGTTATGAACAAGCTAATTGCATACCATAACTTACAAAAACAGTCAGATGTTATGTTTTGTTGTTCAGTCTACATAAATATTACAATATTCAAAACAACATGTATTTATTGAGAATATGAATGTATGATTATGTAGTGACATTTTAGAAATCCTATTATATGTTGTATTAATCATGTAATTATATCTGATTACAAGTAATTAGGAAATGTCTCAATTAACAAGGTGCTTTTATTAAATGAGAGCACAGTTTGTGCAAAGATGTTTTGTTTATAAAACGTGATGTTATTTTATTGAGAAAATGGGATGTATTCTTTCGATTTGCAAGCACTCATGGTTAGTCTTGTAACATTCATTTTTAAATGTCTTTTTTTTTTAAATATGGGACCATTGGTCTTTTTGTTATTCTTTTTTTTTCCTTCTCTTTTTGAAAATGAGTTTTATAGCACAGTAATATATTTGATCTGGAAACTAAAAGGGTATTTTATTTGAAATTTTTTTTTTTTTCCAAAAAAATATTTAATAAGTGGGAAGAAACACATTTTATCCCTCTAAGTTTTGTTATAAATGTTGCAGTGCGTAGTTGAAGTGAATGACACAGTTGTATTGAAGAGGAAAAATTATATAAACACATCAAACGATATAATTATGTTTATAATATTTATATACTGATAGTCTTAATTAAAGTGATAGTCTTAATTAAAGTTTATTTTCTGTGGAATGTTATTTAAAGGTTTTTGCAATTGAGTAAGTTTTTGTATTGATATTTGTTTTATATGAGCATCCAGTTGTGAAAATTTCAGAACAGAAAAGTTATCTAAGTATTTATGACAGTTTATTAAGGAGTTATAACTTGTGACTTAGTGGTTAAGGTAGTTGACTTCTAACCACTTGCCCCTCACCTCTGTGGTTTGAATTCTGACTGGCACTTTGGATTTTTTCATATGAGGAAGCTATCCAGCTAGCTTATGGCATGCTGGTGGTTCTTCTCAGGTGCTAATTTGTGCCTGAAATAATGTATGGAAGGGCACTTGAGGTTTTCCTCCACCAGTTTGGCTGGTATATATTATAATTGTATGATGTTTATTTCAGCTTGTTCAACACACCAACCCCAGGAATTACAATACAGTCCCAGGAGCTGTACAGGCTCGCTCAATACCTACAGGAGGCACTTCACAGGGAAAAAATGCTCGAACAGAAATTGTCAACCCTTCAAAAACTTGTACAAAATACTCAGGAATCTTCTGAAGGGGGATGGCAGGTAAGAATATCTATTTGCTTAAGCAAGCATGTGGAAGTTCACAATTCAGATAAAAGTGTGATAAAATAACATGGATTAACCTTTTACCTGCTGAATTTATGTAATGCATTTGTTCAGATTCCATTTTGTAAACTGTCAGTTATCAAATTACCGGGATATAGAGGTAAAAAATTGCAGTTGGTCAGTCAGCAGTATAGAGCCTGGCCAGACTGCATATGAGCCGTGTCATGACAAAGCCAACATAATGGGTTTGCGACCAGCATGGATTCAGACCAGCCTGCGTATTCTCACAGTCTGATCAGGATCCATGCTGTTCGCTATCAGTTTCTCTACTTGTTTTAGAGTTTGTAAGCAAACAGCATGGATCCTGATCAGACTGCGCGGATGTGCAGGCTGGTCTGGATCCATGCTGGTCACAAACGCACTATGTTGGTTTTGTCGTGACACTGCTCACTGTGTAGGATTTGTCTGGTGGTATGCTGGTGGTGAAGGGTAATATCAATCTGTTCCAGAACGGTAAACGTAAAAAGTCCCTATAAAATATACTTCAGATGTAACTCAATTGGACTTGTGTTAGAGAGATTTTACATATGTAATGTATGGGGAGTTAAATACCTGTATTGATCAAATAAGTAGACAAGTTTTGTTTGTGATTTAAACAATGTTAAATATTCATTTTAACATAATGAGTGTTACTGTTTTCTCCATTTGTATTTAACTTGTGGTTAATTATAGCTGGCTTCAATAGAACATATGTAATATCTGTATTTGTTGATTTTAAAGATAGTACTAAGCACAATGGCAATTGTAAGGCAGAAAAATGAGGAAAATTGTAATGGACAATGTTATATTTCAGGCTCTGATAGATGAAGACAGATTGTTATCTAGATTAGAAGTGCTAGAAAATCAACTTCATGCTTATTCAAAGGTAACTTTTGTCTTACACTCATGATTATATTGATACTGGAAGTTATACATCAGAAAGATAACTGTATTGTATGGATGGAAATTAATTAGGGAAGGCAAAAAATTACAGGTTAAATGGGAACTGGGCCAAATATCTGAGTATACTCCATAGAACATCTGAGAGTACTCGGTTGTCTGATTATACTGGACCAAACATTTGAGAGTACTTGGTTGAATGTCTGAGTAATGAATGAATTACCATCTTACTTGTGATGAGTATGACAGAAATGGAAGATTGATGGAAAAATGGTTATACATTTTAAATGTATTTAGATATTTTAACTGAGTTTTCGATCTGAAGAATGAGTGACTACCTGAGTACTTAAATTTGTACTTGTTACCTCCCCGAAAAATAATAAGAATAATTTCATGCATAAATAAATGTGTTTAATGTGATTGGCAATTTGATTTTTTTTTAGAGTTTGTCTATAATTATTGTTTGAAAATCTGCATGTTATTTGTTTACATATATTAAAAGAGAGACATAGGGTTTGTATTGGTAGTTATATAGTTTAAACATATTTTATTTCAAACATTTCACTCAAACATTTATTACATGCAATCAATAGTTACATAATATACAATGCTGAAAAAGGATTAGATCCGAAAGCATACAATGCTTATAGAGGTCTTTTCCTAACATATAATTCATTACTGTAAATTTGGCAGTAAATTACATTTTCAAAATAGTATATCATGAAGAGCATTTATTGATGATAAATGAAGAAAGATGAGGACGGCAAAAGTGTCTATCCAGAGCTAAAATTAAAAAAAAAAATATATATATATATAGTTGAAATAAGTTAGATAGGAAATCATTCTATAATATGTTTTAGAATCAACATAAAATGCTAATACTGTGACCTAGTGAAATGACACAGAAAAAAAGCACATTGAGATTGATGGTCAGAAAAAGGTGAGATTGATTCAATAAAAATGGTGCAAATACACTATATTAAAGAAAAGATATTATTATAGAATCTATTTGGTATGTCAACATGGTAGTGATATAGATGTTGTATCTTTAAACTAAAGTATAAGATAATGTCTGTGTATTACAGAATCATAGTGAGGATACTTTGAGACAAGAACTAGTCCAGTTACAAGAAGAGAAACTGAATTATGAAACCACAGCCAAGGTAACATTTTCTATTGTGTTTAATATGTCCAGTATTGTGTTAAATATGTCCAGTATTGTGTTAAATATGTCCAGTATTGTGTTAAATATGTCCAGTATTGTGTTAAATATGTCCAGGTTTTTTGAGTTCTGTCATTATTTAAGATTTCATCTTTGTACCAGGTGTTGGGTGAAGGATTTAGATAAATGTTAACTTAATGTATTAAATTGAACTGGTCAATAATGTAAGATCAATCATAAATAATGATGTTGATACTATTAGGTACCATACATAACAAACCATGAAAATTATATAAGGATGTTTATAAGGAAAGTTAAAATGTTTGATTTAAATTTCAGGAATCTTTGATGAAAGTTTTACAGGAGAAGATTGAGGCAGTTACAAAGTTATCTGATCTTGAACGTTCACTGACCAAATCCGAGGATGAGTGTACTCATATGAAGGACATGTGTGAACAATCACAGGAAGAACTTCAAGTTTTAGCTGAAAAATATCAGGACCAACTGAAAGCTGTACAAGATATACAAATACAGTTACAGGTATGTGTAGTGAAAACGCTTATAAAAATCTTCAAACTTTATCAAACATTAGGGCCGATCTCAATTCCAAGGTGATTCATATGAACCTCACTGAGGTCCTTGAGGTTATATACATGGAATTTGAATTTCTTTCAAGGATCAGCTGGGGCATTAAAACAGAAAGATATGCTAATGATTATTTAGAATTATACTCAGAAATGAAAAATCATATTTTTATGTTATTCTTAGCCCAATTTGAGTGAAAGTGTGGCAACGATTTTCATTAATGGGTCATTATTCCTGTAAGAATAATTATTCTGGAAAAATAAGTGGTTGAATGATCTGAAAATTTGCTCACAAGTTATTGGTCTAGACTTGCAGCATATTACATCAGCACTATAGAGGTCATTTTACAATTGCATTACAAGTATTACATGCACTGGGGTTCAAGTAAAACCACATGTATCTGGTTAGTTATCTGTATGAAAGAGGAAACTTAAGTCCCTGGCAGGATATCTACCAACAACTGTTAGTGGTAAATGATATGATATAAATGACTTTAACCACTCAGCCACAGGGAACTGAGCATGGAAGTATGTAAATAATGGAATAATATAAACTGAACCGCGTCAAGACAAAACCAACATTGTGGGTTTGCGACCAACATGGATCCAGACCAGCCTACGCATCCGCGCAGTCTGATCAGGATCCATGCTGTTTGCTATCAGTTTCTCTACTTGTTATAGGGTTTGTAAGCGAACAGCATGGATCCTGATCAGACTGCGCGGATGAGCAGGCTGATCTGGATCCATGCTGGTTGCAAACCCATTACGTTTGTTTTGTCATTACTCGGCTCAAACTTGTTACAGGATGCTGAGACTAAGCATATGGAGGATATAGAGAAAGGAGAAAAAGAGAAACTAGATCTACAAGATAAACTAGAGGAGATGATTAAACAAGAGGCTGCATTGACAGCTAAAGTAAGTTTCTTTATCATTCATTGTCATCACATACCTGGCCCGGCTTTTCTGACACTGTAAAACGGTATGGCAGGTCTGTACATAAATATAAGTGTCTCTCTTAATAGTAGCATTACACTGTAGATGCTTCAATGACAAAATTATTGTTTTAATTAACTGAAAAATATTTGTTTTTAGCTCGACTATTCGCCCCGGCGTCGGCGTCCGCGTCGGCGTCTGCGTTGGTTAAAGTTTTTTGTAAAGTCAAATATCTCAATTATTAGTTGAGATATTCAATTGAAACTTACAATACTTATTTATAGTAACAAGGTACATCAGATTGACAAGTTGGATAACTCTGCCTACAATATTGACAGAATTATGCCCCTTTTTAACTTGGAAATTTTGGTTAAAGTTTTTTGTAAAGTCAAATATCTCAATTATTACTTGAGATATTCAATTGAAACTTACAATACTTATTTATAGTAACAAGGTACATCAGATTGACAAGTTGGATAACTCACTCTGCCTACAATATTGACAGAATTATGCCCCTTTTTAAATTGGAAATTTTGGTTAAAGTTTTTTGTAAAGTCAAATATCTCAATTATTGCTTGAGATATTCAATTGAAACTTACAATACTTATTTATAGTAACAATGTACATCAGATTGACAAGTTGGATAACTCTGCCTACCATATTGACAGAATTATGCCCCTTTTTAACTTAGGAATTTTGGTTAAAGTATTTTGTAAAGTCAAATATCTCAATTATTGCTTGAGATATTGAATTGAAACTTACAATACTTATTTATAGTAACAATGTACATCAGATTGACAAGTTGGATAACTCTGCCTACCATATTGACAGAATTATGCCCCTTTAGAACTTAGAAATTTTGGTTAAAGTTTTTTTGTAAAGTCAAATATCTCAATTATTGCTTGAGATATTCAATTGAAATTTAAAATAGTTATTTATAGTAACAATGTACATCAGTTTGCAAAATTGCATAACTCTGTCTGCAATATTTGCAGAATTATTTGCCCCTTTGAAACTTAGAAATTTTGGTTAAAGGTTAAAGGTCTTCAAAGATATTTACTTGAAACTTTACACATGCACTTAGGGTCATAATTGGAGGGTCATAATTGTATGTCACTGACCAAGTTCCATAACTCTATCTTGCATTAAGGCTGATTCATATCCCCTTTTCTACTTAGTCTCTTGGTTAATGTTAACATGCAAGTTTTACATATCTCAATAACTATTAAAGATATTTATTTAAAACTTCACATATGCATTTAGGGTCATAATTGTAGGTCACTGACAAAGATCCATAATTCTATCTTGCATTTAGGCTGATTTTTCTCCCCTTTTTCAACTTAGAAATTCATGGTAAAGTTTTGCTTGTAAGCTGTTATCTCAATAACTACTGAAGGGTTTGTGCCTCTTTTGGGACAATTTTATGCATTCATAAAAATAAAGCAGTAATTTACTTGATAAAACATCTTAATAACAAGCTTTTGTTCCCTTTCTGTCAAATTTATGTATTCATAGGTAATTAGTATGATTATACTCAATAAAAAACCCTTGTGACATTACCTTCCGAATAGTCAAGCCAATTCTGTATAATAAGACTCTCTCTAAGGCCTATAACATGAATTTATAAAAAAAAATTAGCCCTTTTGTGAACTTAAAAAATTTAACATTATCAAGGCTCTTTTACTATCAAGCACTTAGAATAGTTGAGCGTGCTGTCTTACAGACAGCTCTTGTTAAGGTGTGCAATAAATAGATTATTATATTTGTGTAGGTTTAATACTAAATTTATTGCATAATATATAGAGGATATTCAAGCTTTTTCTATAAATACATGATTTATTTTCATCGAGTGGTATGAAAATAAATATTTCATAAGTGGCGGTAGCCACGAGTGAAATATGATAATTTTCATGCCACAAGATGAAAATAAATCATGTATTTATAGAAAAAACTTGAATTTTCTGTTTATTATATACATTTTTCTCTTTTTTGCGATAAAATTTGAAAGACTTTCCCTTAAAGTTTGTGTACTGGCAGAATTTAAAAGAAAGTAGTCCGGCAAGACACCAGTGAAAATACGGAAAATATGTTTCACTGCAGTGAAAAATAAATTTTTACAGTGAAAATACGGAAAATGAAAATACGCTTTTTATTTCATCAATATTTCTCGATATTTTCTTTATAAGTATATAATAAAATTTCATTCTTAAAAAGTTTGTTTATTATCCATTTTTAATCTTCAAAAAATCTATTTAGTTTTGGGACAACTGTTAGTCAATTTTGTAGGCTATTAGATTATTCAATTGTTCAAGTATCATTCTGTGTTTATAAGAAACAAAATGGTTGGAAAAAATGTTAAAACTTAACCAAACTTGTCAGAGTGAAAATTATGAATAATTTTGATTGTATTATAGTTTGAAGCATTATTATATCATAGATTTAAACATTATTGTATTACATATTGAAGCATAATTGTATTATACATTGGAACATTATTGTATTATATATGGAAACATTATTGTATTATATCTGGAAACATTATTGTATAATATATATATGGAAACCGTATTATATTAAATATATGGAAACATTATTGTATTATATATGGAAACATTATTGTATTATATATAGAAACATTATTGTATTATATATGGAAACATTATTGTATGATATATGGAAACATTATTGTATTATATATGGAAACATTATTGTATGATATATGGAAACATTATTGTATTATATATGGAAACATTATTGTATAAATATATGGAAACATTATTGTATTAAATATATGGAAATATTATTGTATTAAATATGAAAACATTATTGTATTATATATGGAAACAGTATTGTATTAAATATATGGAAACAGTATTGTATTAAATATATGGCAACATTATTGTATTAAATATATGGAAACATTATTGTATTATATATGGAAACATTATTGTATTATATATGGAAACATTATTGTATTATATATAAAAACATTATTGTATTAAAGATTGAAGCGTTACAAGCAGACCAGGATATATCTAATGAACAACTGACCACAATGAAAGCTAGACTGGACCAGTTTAAGGACACAAATGAAGATGATCATATCAACAACATGAAAGCTTTAGACTCAGACTCGGAGAAAATGGACTCTGAAAGTGAAGGTATTTATTTATTACCTTGATGTGGGACCATTAAGTCTAATGGTTATTTGTCTCTTACAGCTAATTCAGAAATCATACAAAATAAGTAAATAGTCACTTGTTGAGGAATTGGTATTTACTGGTTATTTATCCAGGAAATTTGCTTAGGTGGACATAACCAAAAACTATCTTAAAACCAGCATTAAAACTATATAAGCAAACAAACAATCATATGAACCTGATTTATCATCTGGTCTATCATACAATAGTGTAGATCACCGATATAATATGAATTGTATTGTATTGCTAAGTTACATGTATCTACACACCCTGCCCCCATCTGTGCTGCTACTAAGTACTACATTCTCTTATATTTCTGTTTCATACATGATAAGATGTTTACGGTGTTAAAAAATAGCAATTGTTTGCAGCAGCAACATTTTTTCAGAGAATATCTGTAGGATTATCTATTAAATGCCAGTGTTGGTGTTGATAAACTTCAAAGTTCACGTGCATGAAATAAAATTGTGAGAAGCTTATTGTTTTGTTTACATATCACATGTTTTACACCTGGTACACATGTTGACAGGTTATGTTAGTTATTATTCAGGAACTGTATATATTGTGTGACAGGTAAGCTGTAAGATGTTTTTATGTACATTAAGTAGATATGATAAAAATAATAAAAATATGTCACATTTTGTATACTGATGCTCATGATAAATTCGGTTTTCTGATATTCTCGGAAGTTTTATACAGTATTTAAATTACTGTATTTATTTAAGAGTTACTATGTCTACTTTTTCTGTTTTATTGTATGACAACATTTGTCAATGTTCAAAATAGAACATGTGCATTATAAGATTTCGTTTTTAGATAATAAAAGAGCATTTTTGTATATTTTCAGTTATATCATCTGTGATTATTAAACCTACTGTGAAATCTGACAAAGAAAGTACTGAAGATGTACCTGAAGATGTGGAAGGAAAGCTGAAAGAAACCCAGAAACAAATAGAGGAGTACAAATGTAATATATTCCTATTTAATCTTGTATTTGATTTTACTGATTATTGATAAGTCTTCAGGGCCTCTAGATCGTGAACATTTACAACATGTAAATGATATAAATACATAGTGTTACAGATATATATACATACATTATACAACAATCTTGGAGATATTGTTGTATATAAATGATACAATGACACAATATATATTAATCATATGGGATTTATGGAATGTGTAAGTGTTTGTATTGTATTGTAACATCTGTATCACATGATTTCTATGTAATATAACCATTCTATATTTCTTTTTATCACATACCCATGCCTCTTTTGCGACTCCAGTAAAATTGTTTTGCAGGGCCGTGCATATATTTTGACGTGACATCATTTTCTTTATATAAACATGACATTAAGACACAATAAATGTTAGCATTATACTATAGGTGTGTCAATGAAAAATGGTTCTTTTTCACTTTTAACGGTCTATTGTTGTTATGTGATAAATAGAATATTAGATTCTTGTAAGTTCATTACTGAATTTATTGAACTTGTTGAGTAAAACAGTATTATGGGAGCCTCTTTACAACTTGTTCAATAAATTCAGTATTAAACTTACACTCATTCAGTATTATCTATACAATACACATGTGTACTTTAATATCATTGTGACATGATTTTACTCTGTACATTTCATAATTAAAAATGCATACAAATGGGCACAAAAATATCAAAACAACTTTATTTTCATTGATTATAATGCCTTTAGTCTTGTGATAAAAAAGTTTCTCCTTTATTCTCATATAATATAAAAATTTACTTGCTTTATAAAAAATTCTTGAACATGTGAAATAAAAATTATAATATATGTAAACTTGTGAGATCTTTTACGTATGACACTGTTATATAATACAGATTTTCTGTCAGGTTTTCATTTGTGCATGTTATACATTTATTACATATAGTAAAATATAAACATTTATATGATGATTTACTATAGGACATGTTATAATTGTGAATATATTACAGTGAAAATGGAAGAACAAGAGAAGAATCTACAAGATAGTGCTGAGAATGTTGAACAATTACAAAGTAAGTTACCTCCCTTTAATGCTGTTTGCACACTTTCTTGTGGTTCATGGACACATTTAAAGAAAAGGAAGTGCCTGTTTAATGTAATTATTTCTAATTGATAAATTATTCCTAATTGATAAATTATTCCTTATTGATAAATTATTCCTTATTGATAAATTATTCGTAATTGATAACAAGGTTACTCAGGTTCAAAGAAAAATTAGAGCTTTTGTCATCGATCAACTTGGTGGCGATGGTGTTGATTAACCTGTTTAGGTGAACTTCTCTTAAAGTTTTTATGGTAAAACAGTTATATATCTGTGTGTATGGTCAATAAGTTTTATATCTGTTTGTATGGGCAGGTGGTTATATATCTGGGTATATGGTCATATGATTTTATATATGTGTTTATAGTCAGATGGTTATATATCTGTATGTATGGACAGATGGTTTTATATCTGGGTGTATGGTTAGATGGTTTTACATCTGTACTGGTAAGATATAAAGCCTTCACACATTATCACTGTATACAAGTATAACAGTATTTTCATGTTTGCTGCAGTGACCATTGTTGACACATTATTGCACTATGTTTTATTACACATATAAATATTTGATGTTTCAGGAGATTTGGAAGCTTCAAAGCTAGAATCTTTACAGTATGTTGCTAAAATAGCAGCTCTAGAAGGTAATTTCTCTCTACTTATTTCTTATAGTTTTCTTGGTTTTTCACCTGTGTTATATACATCTTTATTTCTCACACATTTAAGTTTTTAAAATGGTTTCATATGGGGTTAGGGTTTTAATGTTCATTTAAAGGTTTTATTGGATTTTTTATTAGGCTTCTTTTATTACTGCTTTATAAATTCCTTTTTAGCTCACCTGTCACAAAGTGACATGGTGAGCTTTTGTGATCGTTTTTCGTCCGGCAGGCGTCCGTCCGTAAACTTTTACTTTAAAAGACATCTCCTCATAAACCACTTAACCAATTTCATCCAAACTTCACAGGAATGTTCCTTTGGTAGTCAACTTTAAAAATTGTTAAATTCCAAGCAGAACTCTGGTTGCCATGGCAACCGAAAGAAAAAACTTAAAATATCTTCTTGTAGAAAACCGCAAGAGCTAGAGCTATAATATTTGGCATGCAACATCACCTAGTAAGTGTCTACCATGTTTGTTCAAATAAATGCCCTGGGGTCAAAATTGGCCCCACTCCGAGGGGTCATTGATTTTCCTTATTTGTATATAGTAAAAACTTAAAAAATCTTGTTTTAAAAACCCCAAATAGCTAGAGCTTAAATATTAAGCATGAAACATCTTTCAGTGGGTGTCTACCATGTTTGTTCAATTAAATGCCCAAGTGTTAAAATTGGCCCGGCCCTGTGGGGGGTCATTGATTTTCCTTATTTGTTATATATAGTAAAAACTTAAAATATTTTCTTTTAGAAAACGGCAAGAGCTAGAGCTTAAACATGAAACATCACCTAGTGGATGTCTTCCAAGTTTGTTCAAATAAATGCCCTGGGGTCAAAATTGGCCCCGCCCCGAGGCGTCATTGATTTTCCTTATTTGTATAATTAGTAAAAACTTTAAAAATAACCCCAAATAGCTAAAGCTTAGATATTAAGCATGAAACATCTTTTAGTGAATGTCTACCAAGTTTGTTCAAATAAAAGCCCTGGGGTCAAAATTGGCCCCGCCCCAGGGGGTCATTGATTTTCATTATTTTGTATAGAGTAAAAACTTAAAAAATCTTCTTTTAAAAAACCAAAAGAGCTAGAGTTTAGATACTAAGCATGAAATATTTTCTAGTTAGTGTCTACCAAGTTTGTTTAAATAAAAGCCCTGGGGTCAAAATTGGCCCCTCGGGGGGGGGGTCATTGTTTTTTCCTATATGTATATAGTAAAAACTTTAAAAAATCTTCTTTTAAAAACCCCAAAGAGTTAGAGCTTAGATATTTATCATGAAACATCTTCTAATGGCTGTCTACCAAGTTTGTTCAAATAAAAGTCCCTGGTTTAAAATTGGCATTGGCCCAGGGGCCTATATACAGGTGAGCGATTTCAGGGCCATCATGGCCCTCTTGTCTGTTGTTTTGATGGTACAAAAATACTGTAGGATGCCTTGGGAGAGCAATGAAATTATGTAGAAATTATCAAATATTGATAAGCTTTGAAATTTGTTTTATATAGAAACTTATTTGTAGACAAACAAATTTTTAAGGTAGTCTTACTGTAATGCTTTCCTGTAAAGAAATTCTAACATCGGCCAATATCGTAATAATTCGGTAATTTCCAGAAAGTTTTCTATTTCACAATTTTCGGTATTCAATAACTTTTAAATGTTAAAACCGAAATTTATTACATAACGTTGAAGGATGAGTGATTGTAAATTATACAATGCCAAGGATTTTGAAAAAATAATGTTCCGGAAATAACCGCAATGGTATGATATTGGCCAATGTTTTTTTGGTGGGAAAGCATAACAGTAAGACTAGCTTAAAGGTCTTACCATTTTTTCATCTTATTTAAAAGTAACTGTAACATTTTTTTATGTGCTTTAAATACTTCATGTTTAAATGTGCATGTAAATTTAGCATGATCTCATTGTTAACAAGTTGATTTATGCTCACTTATTATTTCATACAACATTAGTTCCTTTCAATAACTTCTTTATTTCAACATTAGAATTATGCATGTATATATATCATGTAGGTAGTTTACAAAATTATCCTGTAACATAAAACAGTAGAGAAGTAAAACATATGCTCTATGATATAAAGAAATGTAAATGTAGAATGACAGGTCAAACAGTGTAGAAAATTGTAAGCAGCATGTATGATATTAATGAAATAATTACTCGACACAAATATATGTCTAAAGAAAATAGGATTGTAGTTTATAAATGAAAATCTAACAGCATGTTATATTGAAAACTCAATAGAATGTACGTAATTTGAAAAGTTTATTGTCTGTATAGAATAATTATAAAGTGATGGTAAATCATAACAGTTTCTTTATAAATTTTGTGTAATAAATTTTGTCATACACAGTTTCAATCTACAGATAAATTAAAGCAAGTTGATATAATGAAGATGTTAAATATGGATATATAATTAATGTTCCTAGAATGAATCTTTATGAATTTTGTGTAATAAATTTTGTCATACACAGTTTCAATCTACAGATAAATTAAAGCAAGTTGACATGATGAAGATGTTAAATATGGATATATAATTAATGTTCCTAGAATGAATCCTTTAAAATTTATATCTAAATTAAATTCAATCCCCCACCCCGCCAGAAATATTATTGTGTTACCTCTAAGGTTGTTATAGGTTCTTCCACATAGAAGTAAGAAGAAATGTTAAGAATAATACAGTAGTTATCTAAGATCCATTGGTCTGTCTATCTGCACTGCTGATAATAGATAGGGGGCTATCTAACTGTAAACAGAATAAAAGAGAAAAAAAAGTTCATTATGAAATTCAAGAATAAGTGGTAAAATAAACGGGTTCCTCTAACAAAAAAAGCCAAAAACAATGCCCATGTTTTTAATTGGGATCCATCCATCTGTCAAATCCAACCATTCATTACACAGCTATTTTTTTAATTTAAAAAACATTTTTAAAAATTTGGGTTAAATAGAATTTAGTTTACATATCAGTTTTCCCATGGGCAAATAAAAATATAAACAACATTTTCCAAATATTTTAGAAACCTTTTTTTATATGGAAACCCCCTTTAAATTTAAAAGATGCCAAACCAAACTTTTTTGGAAAGGGCCCTTGTTTTGGTTCTTTCTTCAAACATTTCAGGGCTATTAAATTTCTGTCATAAAAATTAATTTTCCTTTTTTTGTCACAAAAAGGGGGGAAATTTTGGGCAATGTAGTTTGTTAGGATATGCCCTAAATACACAAAAGTTTTGAACTACTTGAAGAACTTACACAAAAAAAATCTCCTCTTGGAGCCTAAGCTGAAAAGTATTTTTTTCTTCTCTCCATTAAACATGTAGAATTTTCCTGAATGTCCGTATTTTAACTTTATCTTATTTTGTTAGGAATAAACTGATTTAACTGAAGATAAAATTTCATCATACTTCTTATTTATGACTGCCTTGAGTACAATACTTATAACATTATAGTGTTAACTCTAAAGACAATAATAATAGTAAATGCATTCAGTCATAATTATAATTTTACAGGTTTATATATTGTGTTTTTATGCATGCTGCATGGGTTATTGTGTTTGAGTTTTGATATACTGATTTGCTTTTCATGCTTTTCATTTTGTTCACACAGATAAGTTAAAGCTGTCTGATTTACATATGAACCAAATGGTGGAAACAACAATGGCTGACTTGAAATGTAAGTTAGGCCTTTAAGTTTACCTACCTATCGTAGGTTTTCACTTTTCTTGTTTGATTTTCATTGCATAAACAAATGGCTGGCTTAGACATAACAAAATATAAGTTTGTTTTCTTGTTTCACCTTGTTTGTATATCCTTTGCCATCATTCTTGTAGTGGGGGCTTTTTTTTGACAAATGTTTCAGATCCAATATGATAGAAGAATAACTTACATCTGTTGACAGTTTCCTTTGAAAACACACAGGCATATGTAGCTATTCCCTGATTTGTGTCTTACTTCTCTTGATGTCCTATAGCAAGATTGTTTATTCAGAGTTATTGTTCTTTGATTGTTGATTCCATTCAGTTGAATAATTTGCTACATTTAGCTCCTGTTCTTTTCTCACCATTCAAGTTTTGCTTGTGTGTCAAACTTTACAAAGTTAAGTTGTGCTCCATCTGGAATGTTGTAAGTTTTGTGATCAATTTAAGGTGTAAAGTCTGATTGTTGTGTATATTAGATAAATGTTAGTTCACTACTCTTTTTATAATTGTATTTCTGTTGTCCACTTTGATTCAGGAAATATTTGTTCGTTTATGTTTGAGATATTGTATTAATTTTTAATTTCTGAAATGCATGCATGTCTGGAATAGTTTTCCAGCATAGATTTTGTCTATGTCAACTTCATCAATATAGAGATGAGTATTTTATTTTGTTACAAGTTGTACTGTACTCTAGAACATTCTTTAAGACTTAAAGAAGTTTGATTATTTCATTTTTAAAACGTCTATGACATTACACAGTGATAAGGTTAGTCAATCAGGGAAATATAATTGAACACAAGGATCATAGGTTGTAGGTTACTGACCATTGTTTAATTCTTATTTTTGTTTCTTGTAGCACAAATGACAGAGAGCACAAAACAATCAACAAACAGCAGTGATCTGATAAGTCATTTACAAGGTAAATACATGAACATCAACTTTTAGCTAGCTTAACTTTTTTAAGAATATTTTTTTTTTCATCTGTGTAAGTAATTTTTCTAAACCCCTCTTTCAAATATAATCATTTTGTACTTTGAGTACTTGTTCACTATCAACTTTGAAATATATTTAATGGGAGGTAAGCCAGAAAGTCATTTTTTCATAATAATTATCTTATTTGGCTAAAAATGTTTGCCTTTTCTCCAAAATAGTTAAAAATATACTCTTCAAACCGGTGACCAAATCCAAAATAGTCAGAAATGTACTCTTCAAACCTAAATATTTTATTCATTACTTTGAACTTTTTCAGTAAAATGCTCCATTGTCTACATTACATTTATAATACTATCCAGTACTGAGAAAAGTGGACTGATTGTTTAAAAACAGTCTTTTATGAATTCCTGTTATATGATTTGATGTTATTGAATGTAGAGTCAAAATAATAGATCAAGTTTTATACACTATGTTGAACTATTATACAGATTTAGTTTTATACACTAAGTTGAACTATAATACAGATTTAGTTTTATACACTATGTTGAACTATAACACATATCAAGTTTTATACACTATGTTGAACTATAATATAGATCAAGTTTTATACACTATGTTGAACTATTATACAGATCAAGTTTTATACATTATGTTAAACTATTATATAGATCAAGTTGAATACACTATGTTGAACTATTATACATATATAGTTGTATACATTATGTTGAACTATCATACAGATCAAGTTTTATACATTATATTGAACTATTATACAGATCAAGTTTTATACATTATGTTGAACTATTACACAGATCAAGTTTTATACATTATATTGAACAAATTACAGATCAAGTTTTTAAACACTATGCTGAACTATTTATATAGATCAAGTTTTATACATTATGCTGAACTATTTATACAGATCAAGTTTTATACATTATATTGAACTATTATACAGATCAAGTTTTATACATTATGTTGAACTATTACACAGATCAAGTTTTAAACATTATGTTGAACTATTTATACAGATCAAGTTTTATACATTATGTTGAACTATTATACAGATCAAGTTTTATACACTATGTTGAACTATTACACAGATCAAGTTTTATACATTATGTTGAACTATTACACAGATCAAGTTTTATACATTATGTTGAACTATTATACAGATCAAGTTTTAAACATTATGTTGAACTATTATACAGATCAAGTTTTATACATTATGTTGAACTATTATACAGATCAAGTTTTATACATTATGTTGAACTATTACACAGATCAAGTTTTATACATTATGTTGAACTATTATACAGATCAAGTTTTATACATTATGTTGAACTATTATACAGATCAAGTTTTATACATTATGTTGAACTATTATACAGATCAAGTTTTATACATTATGTTGAACTATTACATAGATCAAGTTTTATACATTATGTTGAACTATTACATAGATCAAGTTTTAAACATTATGTTGAACTATTATCGGATCAAGTTTTATACATTATGTTGAACTATTACATAGATCAAGTTTTATACACTATGTTGAACTATTATACAGATCAAGTTTTAAACATTATGTTGAACTATTACATAAATCAAGTTTTAAACATTATATTGAACTATTATATAGATCAAGTTTTATACATTATATTGAATTATTATACATATCAAGTTTTATACATTATGTTGAACTATTATATAGATCAAGTTTTAAACATTATATTGAACTATTATATAGATCAAGTTTTATACATTATGTTGAACTATTATATAGATCAAGTGTTATAAACTATGTTGAACTATTACACAGATCAAGTTTTATACATTATGTTGAATTATTACACAGATCAAGTTTTATACATTATGTTGAACTGTTATATAGATCAAGTTTTATACATTATGTTGAACTATTACATAGATCAAGTTTTATACATTATGTTGAACTATTACATAGATCAAGTTTTATACATTATGTTGGACTATTATACAGATCAAGTTTTATACATTATGTTGAATTATTACACAGATCAGGTTTTATACATTATGTTGAACTATTATACAGATCAAGTATCAGATTTAGAAAGAGAGTTGGCCTTATATAAAATACCTCAACCAGAGAGAGCTATGGATACAACACTGGTCTGCTCGGCCCTAGATGAGGTTGATTCACTCACAATCAAACCAAAATATTCTTCTGTTGATGACTCGGAACTAGAAAGTAAGTTTTATCCTACCCCAGTCCATGATACTTTATGTTTGTTAAAGTTATTTGTAATAAAATGAAAGCTTTGACGAAAATATTTTGATGAAAAAAAGAAGAAAAAGAAAGCAATAATCATAAGGAATTAAATTTATCTTTTGAATTTGATATATTTAACTTCATGATGAATAATTAAATCATATGATGAAGTGTTAGATTGATGAAGTTTTCTAGTGGCAATAATGTGAGACTTTTGTCAAGTCCAGCCAAACTTATCATGCTTATATATAAATCTTATAATATCTGATAACTGACTCATCTCCTACAAAATCATCTTGTTTCTTAAATTGTTTTGCTGTTTCATTGAGGAAAATCTTTTTTACAAATCGCTCATTAAAATGCATGCTATTTTAAAATAAATGAACAACAGTTATGCTCCTGGTTGGCAGTTGTTGGTATTTTCTACTAAGTTTTCAACTTTTAAATGTTGTATTAAAGTGTATAAAGCAATATATATATATGCTACAAAAATTGTTGTTTGAATTAAAAACATGGTATGACAGAAGTATATCTGTGTATCTTTCACGACTTGAAATGGCAGAATATTTTGTTTCGAGATATTTTATTCTATTTACAAACAATATCCATGTGTGTTAAATAACATAGACATTCATTGTTGCAACTTTCTTGAGAATCGACCATAAGATTTATCATTATGGAAACAGCATAATTTTACTGTTTAAAAAATTTATAAAATATTTCCATCATATTTATCTTTATACCCTTTTGATAAAGTTACTCTGCATAGAAATCTGCCTGCTATGGAACAAATTCATTAAAATCGGACATTTAGTTTTCTGCTTTTGTTACAGTCCGCAGTATTTGTTCATTACAGCTACTTTGTTTATATGTCAATATCTTGTCATGATTTGTTATCAAAATCAGAATTGAGACAAGTTTTTATTTTTTCTTGGTTTGTATGTTTTGATCATTGCAATACTCAACAAAGCAAGTTTGTTATATAGAAATTAGTGGAAAGAGAGCATATGGTTCAATATTGAAAGATATGCAAATAGCAAATAACTCATCTGTTTGTATCTAGCAGGAAGAAAATCAACCACTATGTATCTAAAACATAAATATATTTAACTATATGAGCCACGCCATGACAAAACCAACATAATGAGTTTGCGACCAGCATGAATCCAGACCAGCCTGCGCATCCGTGCAGTCTGATCAGGATCCATGCTGTTCGTTATCAGTTTCTCTACTTGTAATAGAGTTGGTAAGCGAACAGCATGGATCCTGATCAGACTGCGGGGATGCGCAGGCTGGTCTTGATCCATGCTGGTCGCAAACGCACTATGTTGGTTTTGTCATGGCGCGGCTCATATATACATTTCATATGAATTAGATATTGTATTAATGTTTTGTTTTCAGAACTATTACAGGATGCTAGACGTTTACTGTCAAAGACTGAAGGTGATCTAGGCAAATGTAAACGTAAGTTTGTATTCTACATTTATTGGTAGCCTGTTTATGATAAATCTTGAAGAAATAAAAACTAGCTTTGATAAGTAAATTTATTGTTGTTAGTTCTGACTGGTCAGTTGGAGCATCTGTTGCCAAGTGGTTAAGGTTGTTGACATCAAACCACTGCTCATTGCTGCTGTTGGTTTGAATCCTGCAAGGAACTATGGATTCTTTCATGTGAGGAAGCTATCCAGTTTGCTTATGGAACAGCACTGGTTCTACTCAGGTGTCGACTTGTAACTGATCTATTGTGTGGAGTTGTACCTGAGGTCTTCCTTTACTATTAAAGCTTGAAAGTCACCTTATGACCTTGAAATGTTGACACTACTGTTAGAACAATTATTACAATGTTAGTCAAATCTATATTATACTTTTATTAATAGTCAAACATAAGTAATAAGTTACACCTACATATATAACCATATGGTATCAGTAAAATGTGTGCTCCAACTAATCATCACAGTAAATATTACAGGAATATTGTTGAGAAAAGGTGAATTACTCCTTTACAAAATAAACAAAAGGTTAAAAATTATGTGTATCAGATATTTGATTTCAAAATGTCATGTAAATTGTAGATTGTATATCTTTAAGAAAACATTGTATAATATGTGCATGGTGACATTATTAGATACAACATCTGCAAGGAATACATTTTATATCAGTACACATTGTAGACTGTAAAGTGTAAATATTACATGGCAGATTGTACATCTGTAAAGACTACATAGTAGTTAATAAATCTGCAGTGTTCATTGTGGCTTGTATATCTGTAACCAGTATATAGTAGATTGTACATCTGCAAAGAGTACATTATAAATTGTATAGCTGCAAAAAGTAGAGTAATTAGTACATTAAAGAATGTATGTCTGCCAAAGTAAATTGTGAAACACACAATGTAGACTGTATATCCCAATCATTTTAAGACCAAGAAGTAAAATTGCAGTATTGCAGATAAATTTACTGGCAACTGTTTTAACAGTTAATTTCTTGTGCAGTGACAAAACATAAGATTTTATCATTTAAATTGAAGTTTACATAGTAAACACGGTTTATGCAAGATCTAAATTAATTTTACTTTCGATTTGATGTTAACACTGTCAGTACTTGACCATTATCCGGTTTCTAATATTACGTGACTTAACCCAGCCCAGTTATGAACAAAATAGGACCCGCATCAGCAGCTAATTTCTATGCTGCCTCTTGATTTCCACAGTGCTCTTTGTTTATAAGCACATTAATTTAGATAGTACCATCAACCATCTCCGTCTCTCACCTTGAAGAGCAATGCCTTCTGGTTAAGATCTTGTCAGTATGTCCCTAATGGGGATTAGGCTCGTAAGCCAGTACCAAGAAAGGAGGCATACTGGCTCGGACTACACCACACTTAATGGTTTTAACATGTTTTATGTCTTATTTCCAGTTTTAGTTATATTTATCATATAATCATTCATTTGGTCTGATGTTTCTTAGCCAGTTATGCCAAAAAATAAAGATTTATAAGTCTATCATTTGTTTCGTGGTTTTAATTTGAGTATAAATGTTGTCTTAAACAGGATAGACATGGTTTCGTCACAATATAAATAGAATTGATGACTAAGTTAAAGAAATATTTTTGTAAGTGGCCATTATATGTTCTTTAATTATCAGGATAAAATAATTATAGGAGCACAAATGTTTAGCTCACCTGACAACATGATACTCATGGTTTGCTTTTAGGATCATCATAGCTGTTGTTTATCATCCACTGTTGCTTAAAAATCTAATGACATCTCTGTAACAACCTTGTCAAATTTAATAAAAATTGTTTGAATGTTTCTTGTATAAAGCTCCACCAAAGCTGCTCAAATGATTCTAGTAAACTGGATATCTGGGTCACTGGTGCTAAAAATGAGTGTTAAAAAATGAAATCTCTAAAATCTTCACCATAAGTTTATAGCTTTGAAATTTTATATTTAATGTCTAGCATCTTCAAATTATTCTCTGCCAAGTTAGTTTCAATTATAAACCTTGGATCAAAATTGACCCTGCCTTGGGGGTAACTTGGTTTTACATAGTCACATAATACACCTTAAAAATTCTTATCTCTATTACCATAAGAGATTAGATATGACCAAGGTGTTAAAATTGACATCACCCCGAGGTTCACCAGATTTTATGTTAGTCTTGTGTGAGAAAATTAAGCAGATTTTTTTCCTAAAGCACATTGCCTACACTTAGATATTTGGTGTGTAGAATTGTCTTATGAACCTTTATCAACTTTATTCTAATGATGAAAAAGGGGTCAAAATTGGTCCTACTTACACTATGATTATATGATTAATTGCAAACAATTTTAACTGTAATATTTTGTAAATTATAAGAATTTTTTTAAATAAATAAATGCAGTTGATAATTTACCAAAATTATAATGAAAACTGTTAAACTATAATAAAAATGTTTTTCATACTAATCAAATATATGTTATGCAGTTGATAATTTACCATAACTTTAATGAAAACTTCTAAACTAAATAAAGGTTAACTTGATACATAATTATAAATGAAAAAACAACAAAAGTTCATTATTCATCAATTTTTAGGGAGTACCGAGTATAATAATACATTATTCATCAACTTTTATGGAGCATAATAATACATTAGAAACCTATGAAAGAAGGGGATTTTGTCCAGGGTAGTAAAGAGGATTTTGTCCAGCCTTGCAAAAACATGAAGGGGATTATGTCCACCCATGAAGGGGATTTTGTCCGGGTATGCGAAGGGGATTTTGTCCGAAGGGGATTATGTCTGACATTCAAGCTGCTCAAATGGTTCTAGTATACTGGATATCTGGGTCACTGGAGCTAAAAATGAGTGTTAAAAAATAAAATCTCTAAAATCGTCACAAAAAGTGTATAGCTTTGAAATTTTATAGCATCTTCAAATTATACTCGACCAAGTTAGTTCAAATTATAAACCTTGGATCAAAATTGACCCTGCCTTGGGGGTAACTTGGTTTTACATAGTCACATAATATACCTTAAAAATTCTTATCTCTATAACCATAAGGGAGTAGATATGACCAAGGTGTTAAAATTGACATCACCCCGTCAGGTTCACCAGATTTTATGTTAGTCTTGTGTGAGAAAATTAAGCAGATTTTTTTCCTAAAGCACATTGCCTACACTTAGATATTTGGTGTGTAGAATTGTCTTATGAACCTTTATCAACTGTATTCTAATGATGAAAAAGGGGTCAAAATTGGTCCTACTTTGTTGGTCACTTCATTTTATGTTGACTCACATATAGGAAACTCTTTAAAAATCTCCTTCTCAGAAACCTCATTGCCTAATTCTTTTATATTTTACTTTGTAACATTGTTTATTGGACCATCACCAAGTTTGTTTAAATTATTACCCAACTGCCCAAATGTTTTTTCCCCAACAGTAATAAAGTTAGTGTGGATCATTGTCTTGTGGTTTTTTATTATGTTTGTTCAAATAATGACCCCAGGGGGAATCAAAATTTGCCTTTTTCCAGGAGGTTATTTGATATTTCAGGACTGTTCAAAATCTTTTTCACACTAATTGTAAAGCTTAGAGATATTTGATGTTTGGCATTGTATAGTAAACTTGTATTTTAAGTTTGCTCAAATAATTCAGGTTAGTAATCTGAGGCCATAATTACTCTCTTGTACAAGTGTCACGGTTCAGAACTGTTGACTAATTACAGGAGAAAATGTGTAAGCGGCCGGATAGCTCAGTCGGTAGAGCCGCGGAATGATATTCCAAAGGTCCCGGTTCGAGTCCCGATCAGGCTGCACATTTTTCTCACCCTATGACACAAGTTATTATCAATGTTAAGTCTTGAAAAGTTTTTTTAAGCTTTCAGCTCTTTATATTGGTACTTAAATACTGAAACATTTTAAGTTGTGAAGACATGTATTTCTTCTGTGCCTATTTGTTTAAGGTGATTTTTCATACAATAGCCTTTTTAAATAGTTTAAACAAAATGTTTAACTTAGCCCAGTTAAAGTACTGGAAACCTTTAAAAAAAGGTTTTATTCAAGGTTTACCATAAATAAAGTGCCGCTGTTAATGTGTTCAGAAGCTAAGTAACGTATTATGTTCCTTATTTCTTTAGTTAAAAGTTAATGAAAAGATCTGTAAATTTATTATTTAGCTAAATTTAGATTTAATTTGAAAAGAAGTAGTTGAAATGTATTTTACAAATAAGTGTAGAAGAAATGTTTACATTAATAAGATTTATGCATGTAGTATAATTGATGTAGTTTTATGAGAAACATTGTTTTATATTTACTAGAATAGTTGAACAAATTATAGTGGTATAATTATAGTAAGAAACATTTTTGGCAATTATTAATTTATTATTGACAGCAGATTAAGTTTATGGTGTAATATTGAAGTTGGTTACAATGTCAATAACTTAACCAGGATTAAATGGTCTTTAACCTTAACAATTGGAGGCAAGTCAAAAGAATGTTTTTATTTGCCAATTATTTGCTAAATTTTCTATTTCAATGAAATGATATGTTAATATTGAAAAATTAACAATACATGCAAGCAAAGATTGTAGAATATATAAAGTTAGGGAATGTTTTATAAGCTAAGTTGCTAACTGATTGAATTCTGATTATGATTTTTTCAATGAAATGTAAGACAGTGAATGTTGAAGTGCCTACTCAAAAGTAGTTGTGGATAATATCAATTTTCAATTAAAATTGGGGATCGCTGAAAATATATTGATATTTTGAATGTGTTAGTTCTTTTGCTGAAAGTTTTCAAAGATAAGAGAAGTGGTTTATAAATGTGTATGAAAATCATGGAGTATAGGAGAGAATTGAGGTGAATTTATATAATGAAGATTGACAGAATTATATGTGATTTACAAGTGAATGGCTTCATATTGTACAGGTAACCTATCATATAAAAATCTTTTAATAGAAACAGTTTCTTCTTGACTTACTTTAAGTCTTATACATAACATTCAATAGATGGATAATTTTACTATATGAGTTACATAATATTATAATATATAACTTGTTTAAAAAATAAAATAATATATGTCTTGTTTACTCAACTTGTGTTTTTCTTTTAATTGAATGTTTTGAGTGTATACATTTGAATATATTAAATAATATCACTAAAAATTATGCAGAAATGAAAGTTTAAAAGTCTCAGATTCAATACTCATCTAAGATTGAAATTTTTATTAATTTTTTTGTGTAAATTCAAAATCAAATATATATATATTTTTACATAATAACAATAATGATTTTGCTATGTCTTTGAAAAATTCAGATGGGTTTTTATACAATGTAAGAAGAATGATTCAAAGAGTGATTGATGGGGCTAACAGTCCTACTCACTCCAGCATAGGTGTCTGGTTATCAGCTTAAGAATCAAATGAGCCGTGTCATGACAAAGCCAACATAATGGGTTTGCGACTAGCATGGATCCAGACCAGCCTGCGCATCCGCACAGTCTGATCAGGATCCATGCTGTCCGCTATCAGTTTCTGTACTTGTAATAAGGTTTGTAAGCAAACAGCATGGATCCTGATCAGACTGCGCGGATGCGCAGGCTGGTCAGGATCCATGCTGGTTGCAAACCCATTATGTTGGTTTTGTCGTGACGCGGCTCAAATGTTTTACATGCAACTTCTAATTTAACATCATATCTCAGCATCCACTAAAACATTTGTATGTAACTTCACACATATATTTATACATTTTTGGCAGTTTTTAAATAGACATAATTGGCAAAATTAAAACTGTTCAATAGATTTTCTTTTAACTTTGTATGTTGTAATAGCATACACTTTTAGCGGGAGACTCCCACTTTCTGCAGCCGTATTTTTAAAGATTTTTCTTAAAATAAGGGGTATTTTCACAAATTAAAGAAATCTCCCTATTTTTGATGTCAGTTAGATTATGATAACAGAAACATTTTAAGCAAAAAAAAAAATGGGTCATCATTCTTGTATTTTAGTTATCTGTCTTTTACCTCCAAGGGCAGATAATTAACAAACAATTCCTTACTTTTCTTAATTCTTATGTAGCATGCATCTTTTATAAGTTTTGTATTCATCAGAAATATCATTGTTAACAACATTAAAGTAATGACTTAATGTCCATTAACACTGTATATTATTATTTCTCTACACATACACAAATTTAATGACACTTCTGTTGATTATTTATCAAAAATATTCAAAGTAAAGTGAAAATAAGAAACTGTTATCTAAACTCTTGTAGCAGTTATTTTGTTCCTATAAATTTACACAAATTAGTAGCTAGCCAAAATCATGCATTATAAAATTAATACGGTAATTTAACCTGTAACCTAGTGGAACTAAAAGTGATTAGCCTATGTCACCAGTATAGAGCCAGACTGGTGTGAACATCCATGTAGTATTTATTTATGCGTTCCATCTTCTGTACGGCCTTTACACTTGAAGTCCCGATGCAGTGATGATCCATGTAGTATAACAAAGTTCTATACTGCTACTAGCTCAACTATTGTATTATGATATTATATTCCATTAAAGTTAGAATGAACTGTTCTACATTCAAGGTAGAGAAATTAAGAAAATCCATAACATATTTGCGAAGTCTAAGCAGAATATTTATACATTTTATTGTATGTTATGTAAGGTATATTTTATTGTATGTAATATAAGTATATAGGATTTTATAAGGAGAAATTCTGTAAGAGGATTTCTGTTACCTAGCAATATGTAATCTCATATAGTCTGTTCTCTTGTATTTATCAAGTTTTGTCACACATTCTAAAAATAGGAGTTCTCTTACAGATTAGAATATCAGTAAATTGTTATAGTTGTATATGGAATACTTTATGTAATTATACATGTAGTATTAAAATTAAGGTCAGTGTTTGATTTACATATAGGAAAACTATACAAGATAATACATGTAGGACATTTTATATACTGTATATGTACTGAGTCAGGTGGAATAATGTTGGATAACAATTGATAATGATAATAGATTTTCTTATACTACTAAGTACAAAGTGTTTACAGGTGAACATTTGTTGGGCATATAATATTGTCTATGTTTGTATGCTTTTTTTGGCCTACTTTAGTCATTGGTAATTTGATATTCCATTATAAAAGCGGAGGTGTGATAATGCTTGATTCTAGATAAAAAATTGAAGTTTTCAGATCTATTGGCATCAGGTTTTTCACATTTATTAGAACACATGTCATGCAGTCTTGATTTTGTGTATTTTAGAGGAACTGAATGAGTCACAAACAGAAATTAAACAGGTCAAGGAAGAAAACAGTGCCTTGAAAACAGATCTTGTACAAGCTCAAAGCCAGGTCCACGACAAATCAGAAATGGTCATTGATCTTCAAGGTAAAAGTTATTGTAGATTATGATAACAATTATTATAATGCTATTTTTTATGTTTTTTAATTCATTTGAATAAAAGTGGAGCTATGATCAGCTTTCCTGCTCACTTATCAGTCTAACACTTCAGTTAAAATTAAGTGTACAACATCTTGTTTTTCATGTTTTTAAGCTTATAATCAGAGGACTTCTGAGGCTTAGAGCCTAGACATGGATTTTGACCCTTTGTGCACTAAAACAAAATCCTAGTTAGAGGTTTTGCATGCAGTATCAATCTTCAAAACTTCTGATGGTATTCACAAAAAAATTAGCGCATACAAGTTTATTTGAGATAATAATTCAAAGACCCATAAGTCTGGCAAGGATTTTGACTGATTGTGTTCTTTTGTGGCTTTGGAAATGGATTATGAGTTATAGTCCCTTTGTAAATTTCTGGTTAAAGCTTTTAGTGCAAGATCAGTGTATGCTTTTACTGAAGGTATTCACTAGAAGCTTAACACATGTCTTTGGGGTCATAATTGTTGGTCATACACTCATAACTTTGTCATGAATGAAAATTCCTCTTTGATAATTCCTACATTATCCAGGCTTGTGTTAACTACCAACCACTGAGAATAGTTGAGCACCTTGCCTTTCTTATAGCTCTTGTTTTTTTTATATTCATTGCCAATTGCAACTGTTTCCCTTTGCCAAAAACTGTGATTTTATTTTTATATGTTTGACCCTTGAACATGCCAATTGAGTGGCAAGTAAAACATATCAGTTTATGTGCTAGAGAAATAAGTATTAAGTTGAATAATGTGCGGTCATTTTTGATATTAAAGCTTCTTTTGATGTATTGTCATTGTTTTTTCCCCAAAATTATAGAAATTAATTTATTTACCAAAAACAATTGAAATAATAGAAATGCCTCATTTAGATTATTGAATATTTACTTTTTTGAGCTTAAACACAAATAAAATTAAAACCAATATGAAGAGAATTGGTTTTTAACCAAGAAGCCTGTCTTACATGCTATGCATGCAGATAAAGCCTGTGTTTGGGTGTGAATACATTTGTACATATTTTTTCCAGAGCAATTACAAAAAGCAGAAAATACAACAAAAGAAGTTAAAGAGCAAATACTGGAACTGAGAGGTTAGTATATCTAATGATACTATGTTAAATTTATATTTTTACTCAAAATGTACCATACAAACACAATCTTCAATATTTACATGCCTTAGCAGTCAATCTTTATATGCACAAAAGGTCAATGTTTTCATGCCCAAACAGTCACTCTTTATATGCCCAAGTGGTCTTTACATGCTTAAGTAGTGAATTCTCACATGCCCATGTGGTCAATTCTTACATGCCCATGTGGTCAATTCTTACATGCCCATGTGGTCAATTCTTACATGCCCAAGTGTTCACTTCTTATGTGCCTGAGTGGTGAATCCTGACATGCCCAAGTGGTCAATTCCTAAATGTCAAAGTGGTCACTTTTTACATGCCCAAACAGTCAGCCTTCCCATGCCTGAGAGGTCAATCTTTCCATGCTTGATATGCCAATCTTTACATATCTGAGTGTTCGATCTTTACATGCCTGAGTGGCCAATCTTTACATATCTGAGTGTTCAATCTTTACATGCCTGAGTGTTCAAACTTTACATATCTGAGTGGCCAATCTATACATGCCTGAGTGGTCAGTCTTCATGTGGCAAATGAAAGTATTTCATCTTAGCATGACTTATATTGACCAACAGTATAGAGTCTGGTTAGACAACTTGCCTATTATAGTGGTTTTCTGGTTTTCATCTTTTAATAGCCACTTCTATTCCAGTTTTAAGCAGGTAAAAGTTTACAAACAGCACATTGTGTACTATATGTATATTTTGAATTCAGATCAACTTGTAGAAGAACAGAAAGTATCAAAACTAAACCAGGAGGAAATTGCCTCATTGAAAGGTATGTATATATATACACACACAATAATTATATTATACTCAATCATACATTGTAATACCCTACAATAGTAACAGTTTATCATAACTTTTTGTACTGCTTCATAGAAAATAATATGCTACTGTCTTTTGATATAAATTTTATTAGGCGAGACTGATATGGGCTGAAAGGGCAAGGCATGTCTGGCCGTTTCTGCCCATATCAGTCTCACCGCATAAAATTGATATCTAAAGATAGATATCATGTTTTTCCATATAAAAACTGTCAAAATTACAGAATAAGTCAAACAACTCAAAGAACAACTTCTGTTGTTATGTTTATAATATACCATGGACATCGAAGATGTATTACATAAAAAAGATGATAATGTAAATCACATTTCAGAAACATTATTCAAACTTTATGTATAATAAGAATAAATTTCAGTTCTATCTATCTGCTTGTCCTACATGTAATTTGTTTACTGTATATTGATGTTCGATAGTTTGTTTATAAGATTCTAATTCCTTATAATGATTGTAAGATACAGGATGTAGCATGTCATTATCATGTTTGTGATGGGTTCACTGTAATAATGTTCTATATTGTTCTTGTTTATATGAACTATGTCTTTTTTTGTATTGTAAATGTTCATTTTTTTTAAAAAACCTTGAAAAAGGGAAAAGACCATTTCATAAAAAAACATTTTAAAACATTTTGAAACACCCAAAAAGTAAGTTTATTACACCATATATTCAATTTTCATTTTTGTAAACCTATAAAAAGTTTCCTGTAGTTGAATTTGAGATAAATGTGTATAATGATACATTTTATGATAATGGAACAGTCAGTTATAGCCCTGACCACACACCCAGGCCAGAAAGTTGCCATGGTTTTGTTCCCACACTGATGGGTAAACATGGTAGATTGATTTGGCTACAAAATTGTGCAGTATTTCCAACTCACAGTATTGAATCATTTAGCAGGAATTTCACCATTGGACTAAACCCTTAAGGTGGGTTTGATCTTTCAGTAGTCAAATTCCTTGTTGTACCACTTATATCAATTGTCAAGTTAAAATAAAAATTTGGAACAATTAGTGATGAAATGTCATGTGAAGATGAAACAAATATATGGAAAAGAGCAATTGATCTTCTTGAGAAAAAAAAACAACAACAAAAAAAAAAACCACTTAATGCAGAAAGTTTTAAGTTATTGGCGGTGGAGTACAACATAATTATGTTTCCCATTATTTTTGGGAGACATATTGTTTTTGCTCTCACCGTCTGTCTGTCCCTCCATCCGGGTTGTCTGTCCGTCCAGCAGAAATGTAATAAGGGGCCATTTCTTTTGTTATTTTCTTTTGTTTAATAGAGGGCGAATGGCCCCTTACTCTATTGTTACAGAACAAACTCTATTGTTTTCTTTTACCAAATAGGGATAGGGGGCCATCTTACTGTAAACAGAATTCACAGGATGCATAGTTTTGGTAGACATATGTTTTTGTGACAAAAGCCCTTCTTGTTATGCTTGTTCTCACCTGTGTCACACTTATTGAAGAATGGTGAGCTGGAAAAGCTCAGGACTTGTAACCTGGTAGTTGTAGGCTGGAATATCACCAGATTATAAGATTCTCTTCCTTTATCCTCACTGGTGTGATAACTTGTTATGATATCCAGATATCAGTCATGTGTGTCAGGTGTGCCATGTGTGTCAGGTGTGCCATGTGTGTCAGGTGTGCCATGTGCAAGGCTTGGACCCCTAACTCTAAGATCATTGTCAAACTTAAAGGTCAACGGTGAGCTGTTTGAAATCCTGTCTGGCCCACAACTCAGTGAGTCATGATAGTCATGCATCAAGGAAAATTACTTGGCACAAATTTGTAGATGGTGTGTAATGAACAAGACCCTAGCTCCGCTGCCAAGGTCAAACTTTGAGGTCAAAGGTCAGCAGATAGATATGCATGATTATTTTATGAAACTTGGTGTATATGTGTACACTTTACATGATGTATGTTTATTTTATGGGAAGGATTTATGTGATACATGTAGAATCAGTGACTTGTTAAGCAAGTAGTGACATCTACTTATATTATATTTAAGTTAACTTGGAAGAAGAAAAAAGTAAACATGAAGTTACAAGGAGCAGTCTCACAGAGGCCAGAAGTGAGTTCAGTATTGTTATATTTTACTATTTTATTATTTCTCATGAACAAAGTCTGCTGGTTTCATATAATGTTGTTTTCCTCCAGATTTTTTCAATCATCTATAACTTCTTCAATAATTATATGATGTGATAGTATTTGTAAGGTTTAAATTTATTTATAAAGTAAAACATAATTATAATAGTTTGTAAAGCCCTTTATCTATAGTGCTCTTATTAAGCAAAAATTTGTTTTGGTGAAATATTTTGGAAAGTCTGGAGAAAAATTTGGGCACTACCATATGATGATAATGCCAGAAATTTGAATGAGTAACTGTTGTACAGATGGTCAGTTTATATAGCACTCTCAATAAAGAACAAGTAGAGATTTTGATGCTAAAGCATCAAGTCGCCGGATAGAAATATGATTGTATTATCATAAATAAAAGAAAATATCAGTTTAATGGTTCGAGTATAAAGGAAAGAGGAACAATAAGTTGAGTAATGTTTATTCATAAACACTTTTTCATTTACTTGCCACGATTATATCTTTCTTGCTGAGAGTTTTATGCAATAAATTTATGTTATGTTATAATAAAACATCATTTTTGAAGCAAACTTGCCTAGCAATTTTGTCAAGAAACTGTTATCATTATTAAATAAGCAAGTATTGTTTGGCAATATTTACCCGAGACTCAATAATTTTCGGGAGCTGTTTCGTTTGCTTACATAACTTATTATGATTAATGCTAACGATTTTATTGTAAGTATAACTACATGTATAATTATATCAATTAATACTGCTCGATGGCCTAGTGGACAAATCCTGTGTGTAGTTTTCATAAATTGATTTTAACTTTATGAAACATAAGTTGATAAATTGTGTGTTTCATTTCTAGCACTTTTTTATTTCATAATTTTGATAAACGGTCAAGTTTTGCAAAATACAAAAAGTATTTTAAAAGAAAACATAAAAAATCACTTTATCGAACCTACAGTTTTCAATTTGAAACTAACTTAAAATCTAACACCTTGTCATCGAGGCTTGTAAAGCAAGTGATATGACTATAATTCTACTTGTAATTCTACTTTATACATATAATGTTGTACCATACATTTGAAATCCGTATGGTTTTCTTCAGCATCCGATAATTACCGACAAATTATTACCGATCATCGAATATTTGCAAAGTGACTATGAAAATATATATGCTTAATTATTGCATAAAACAATGCAATTCTACTGTAAAAGTGGTGTCTGCATAAAAAAATTATTCAGATGCATTATCGAAAAAATATATTATTTCCTGTTGTTACATACAATCAAGTTAATGTTTAATTTCCAACTATCAACACAAAGATGGTTTATTTTAGTTTTCTCTTTGTATCCAATACGATTCCGGCCCCTACTGTCATACCGAGATTTCCCATACAAAATTACTTTGATTTGCACTTTATCAGCTGCCAACCATTCACTAGTTACCTGTTATTTAGTGTATGTCTGTCTTATCAGCCATTTGTTACTATAAATAGATTTTATAACAATAACATACAACGTGTAGTCACGTGATTCTGGGAGAAACTGTTTATGATAAATAAGATAAAAAAATAGAATAGGTCTCATAAGATACAAACAACCAGATAATTTAAAAGTGTCATTTCAAATATCATGCATGATTTATTTATCATAAAATAGCAAGCTTGATACTTAAAAAAAAGTAAAAGCATCCCTAAATTCAATGACTGGTCCATAGCGATACGTCATTAATTCATTTTATAAAAATTGTAATGTTGCTTTTTACGATGTCAATATTTGAATATTTAATTTCATTGAGCAACATTATTGTATGTTTGAATTTTTGAGATTACTGAAAACAATTGTAGTCTTTAATTGTTCAGTAATTGTTATGCTTTTATTTACAGAAATTAATGCCTTCTCCTACCATAGGTATAATATTAAACTGTTACAAATATAGTCGCCGGTTTCTACCGGCGACTTATGAAGAAATGTAATTCTCATGTTATGTATTAAAGGCTATTGAAGTTTATTGTTTGTATTGTAGAGAGTCTGTCTGAATCTCAGCAAGCAGCGAAACAAAGCCAGAATGAGGCTACACAGTTACGCAGTAAGTATAGTAACAAAGTAATTTACCTTAAATGTTTTGTTGGTTAATAATTGAGTGAAAATAATGGAATTAGGTGATATCATAAAAAGGGATAAGGTTGAGTGGTATTGCATTAGGTGATATCATAAAGAGGGTTAAGGTTGAGTGGTATTGGGTTAGGTGATATCATAAAGAGGGTTAAGGTTGAGTGGTATTGGGTTAGGTGATATCATAAAGAGGGTTAAGTTGAGTGGTATTGGGTTAGGGTGATATCATAAAGAGGGTTAAGGTTGAGTGGTATGGGTTAGATGATATCATAAAGAGGTTAAGGTTGAGTGGTATTGGGTTAGGTGATATCATAAAGAGGGTTAAGGTCGAGTGGTATTGGGTTAGGTGATATCATAAAGAGGGTTAAGGTTGAGTGGTATTGGGTTAGGTGATATCATAAAGAGGGTTAAGGTTGAGTGGTATTGGGTTAGGTGATATCATAAAGAGCGTTAAGGTCGAGTGGTATGGGTTAGATGATATCATAAAGAGGGTTAAGGTTGAGTGGTATTGGGTTAGGTGATATCATAAGGAGGGTTAAGGTTGAGTGGTATTTGGTTTAGGTGATATCATAAAGAGGGTTAAGATTGAGTGGTATTGGGTTAGGTGATATCATATTGATAAAGAGGGTTAAGGTTGAGTGGTATTGGGTTAGGTGATATCATAATGAGGGTTAAGGTTGAGTGGTATTGGGTTAAGGTGATATCATAAAGAGGGTTAAGGTTGAGTGGTATTGGGTTAGGTGATATCATAAAGAGCGTTAAGGTCGAGTGGTATTGGGTTAGGTGATATCATAAAGAGGGTTAAGGTTGAGTGGGTATTGGGTTAGGTGATATCATAAGGAGGGGTTAAGGTTGAGTGGATTTGGTTAGGTGATATCATTAAAGAGGGTTAAGATTGAGTGGTATTGGGTTTAGGTGATATCATATTGATAAAGAGGGTTTAAGGTTTGAGTGGTATTGGGTTAGGTGATATCATAATGAGGGTTTAAGGTTGAGTGGTATTGGGTTAGGTGATATCATAAAGAAGGTTTAAGGTTGAGTGGTATTGGGTTAGGTGATATCAATAAGGAGGGTTAAGATTTGAGTGGTATTGGGTTTAGGTGATATCATAAAGAGGGTTAAGATTGAGTTGTATGGGGTTATTCTATGGGGAATCAATTCTTAACAAGAATTACAATGGTGTTGAAAAGCCTTAAGTATGATAGACATGGAAAATGGTGGCGGGGGTGGTGGGGGTAATTTGAACAATACTTTGTATATAATTAGGAAGTCTAAAGAGTGTGATAGATAAGGTAAGTGGGTGTTGTTTGGTTTTTGTACATTACTATGGTTATGATGGGAAGGCTAAAGGTAAAAATAAACTGTGATATATGAGGTAAGTTATTCCAGTTATATCAATTTTATATATTTTAATACTGTTTTAAAACTTCTAAACTTACCTAGTAAATTATTAAGATAATGTTAAAATAGTCAACACCTGATGTAGAATTGATTGATTTCAGGAAGGATATTTGAGAACACATACCATGTATCAATGTTACATTCTAATTGGTGAAATATTAGCTTAGATAACAAGTTGATAGAGCTTGCATGTGACCATACAATAATTTGTAGAACTGTCATAGTCAACTGATAACCTAGGAGCATTGTCTAATCTTATTGATTCCTTTTACTCTTGTTAACAATAGCCTGCATCTAAAACAACCACTCTTGTATTGAAATATGAACAATATTTGAGCCGTGTCACGACAAAACCAACATGCGTTTGCGACCAGCATGGATCCAGAACAGCCTGCGCATTCGCGCAGTCTGATCAGGATCCATGCTGTTTGCTTACCAACCCTATTACAAGTAGAAAAACTGATAGCGAACAGCATGGATCCTGATCAGACTGCGCGGATGCGCAGGCTGGTCTGGATCCATGCTGGTCGCAAACGCACTATGTTGGTTTTGTCATGACGTGGCTCATTTAAACATTCCATCAAGTAATAATAATACTCTTCATTTATATTAATCCACTTAGATATTACTTCATTCATCTAATACACTCCTATATTTATCAGGATTTTTTCCTCTTATATAATTCTTTCAAGTCCATACATGTATGTAAAACTATAAATTCATCTGAAAAAAAAAAAAATATTTCTCTCTGACATACATTTATGATAGGATAACTGTATGCCTTGCTATAACTTACATTATAATGCAAGTTATAACTGTATGCCTTGCTATAACTTGCATTATAATGTTTACACTGTAATGGTATCAGTCCTTGATGTTATATATACACCAGATTTAAGACATAAAAAGGAAATGAC